ACATCTGTGTTGGTTTTTATATCCCGTTGCGCAACGGATGATGATCTCAGCCATCGTCAAACGACGCACGAGTACAGACTGTCGCACAATCTGACAGGAATGAGTGACACCTGATCGAATTCGTTCAGAATTGAATTTTGTGCCAATCGGGCGACTGCATGTTTTTCGAATCACTCAGCTCAAATGAGACATGTGCCAGTTCAGTCACACGCATTTTCCTCCTTTCAGGAGTCTCCGCAAGATGAGGCAATCAACACTGATTCTGACAGTGCTGGTATTTCTCGCATATTTTGAAGATTTGATCCATGTCAAGACAAACGGCCAAACCGTTAGAAGACCACCCATGGGTTGGACAACATCGCTTCGATTCGGCTGCGAGACAGATTGCAAAACTTATCCTCGTGATTGCATCAGCGAGAACCTGGTCCGACGCATTGCCGATCGAATGAAGAACGATGGTTGGGTTGAACTGGGTTATAACCACCTGGTGTTAGATGACTGCTGGTCGGCGAAGAAACGTGACCCCCGTACTCAAAGACTGGAACTGGATCCTGAGAGATTTCCTGGTGTAAGTCGTGTAGTATGGGTTAAACGAAATTTGTGATGGAACTGGTATGATGTAAATCAGTTGTACCATAGATCATTATTGAATGTATGTTTCCAAAAGGATTAAATTCCTCAAAGACGTCAACATTTTCATTTGAGAATCTGCGTGCGTTGTGTAGAAGTAAGCGATTCAAAAAATTCAACAGTTTTGTTATTTATTCGAAGGGAACGCTGTGGCATAGTTCCTGATTGCTAGTAGTGATTTACTGTCCAAGTTCATCTTAAGAATATCCGAAAACAGTGTCTCAATGGTGAGAGTCTTCCAGTACAATCGGTTTCGGGTGTCCGATAATCAACTCCCACTGCCATTTAATGCCAGTCGTATTCCATAGACCGCGAAAAATATTCTGGGTCAGGAAGACGTCCCATGTGGCACTTATACGAATGAAGAACCCAACAAACACAACCTAGACTAGAAGATGATCAAACAGTCCGAAATATAATGCAACCATCCAGTGTGACTATTGAGTCCACGACGGATTTGGACAATCGTGCCACAGTAAGGGCGACTAACAGAAGATAATATTAGTATATACACATCTCAAATGCACACCTGTTAATCAAGGGTATCCAAAAACAGTAGTGCAAAAGACGTAGATCGTCATTCATAAGCGATAGACTCCACTCTTTAGTCTGCTGTTTTCAGGGGAGATGTTTCTTAGGATTCACAGTTTCTCAGTTTTTAAAGTATGTATCAACTGAGGAATTACCGTCATTACTGTTACATTCATCTGGACCAAATTAACAGGGCTAAAAATGTCTGTTTCTTGGCTCTCAGCAAGGCTAACTAGTACTGTTCCAAGGAGGGATTAGGCAACTACCTCTCCACTCCGAATGAAAACCCTGGCCATGTGCAAACGAAACGCTGCCAATTCGTGATCCAGGAGTGTCCGGGGTCCGAGCGCAGATGAACTGGCAATATTCACACCTAAGAGATACTCTAACGGATAGGGTCCATTTGTCTCGCCCTTGAACAGCGGTCTATGCGCTAGTCGTTCTATCGGCCGCATTCTGAGCACTATCTACACCCAAATTGGTGAGATCCCTTTTGCAGATGTCTTCCCAGAGATTGACATAGAGAGAGACTCCGAGTTATTCCTGAAGATTCCTGACGAGTTGGCTCTCTTCTGCCCGCCCGTTGTTGTAGCTCAACCAGGATATTACTTCTGGAAGTCTGTCATCGCGGCCTACGGACGATGACAGTTCAACATTTGTAAGTGATTAATCGTCACAGGAGATGATGTTAATCATGTTCGTACACATGAGATCAACGATATAGAGTGAAATTCGGCGCAGATGCAACTTCGGGTGCACATTGTGACAACGCCATCATTCACTTAGCTCAACATCTGAGGACACAAAACTTTAAGGATGAGGTATTCATTTTTGCACAACACGTCGTATATTGACTTATTCAGTCCGGAACAGTCCACATGGATCCATCACACGCATCCCTCGGAGAACTGACGCATTCACGCGAGAGTTCACAGGTTTATTGCATTTCAAGCGAAAAGGCCCTTTTCGCGTGATTACTCGGTACATTTTACTTAATCGTCTGAGTTGGAAGCTAGAAAATGCGGAAGAGCTTACAACCAAACACAGATAAATTGGTGTACCACAGTCGGCTGGATTGGTTGAAATCTGCGACGTCTTTTCAGAGCGTCACAGCCAATAATGGTTTCTACTGACCCATTTGGTTATCTCTCTGTCCTAGCGCCTAGGTCTGCACGATGAATGAAGCATCTTACCATTGTTAGCGCGGTTTCACATCGATCTGTGGGACTCAGCGTCTTCGTCAGTTGATCTGTTGAATTAGGCGTGCGCAGTTTTTCCAAACCAATTCAAAGGTGAGTTCAGGGTGGAACACATCTGTCGCGGTGTGATCGGACTTCTATAGTTTACTTATGTTGTGCGTTTCATTTTGGTTCCTTTTATTGAAAATACAATATACATGGTTCTAAGGAAGGGAAATCGGTCAATCAGTGGACTACCACAGAATACACAGAAAATGGGAGATTCAGACAGTGGTGGTGGGATTCGAACACACACCGGGGGCCATAGGTTGGTGACTGTTTGACCACCACCGAAAATGAAAGATACTCTGTTGAAGCGTCGAATAGTCAAGTGCTAAAATAATGAACTAAAAAAGTGACGTATTTGTAGTAATCGGAATAGTATTGAATTTAGGAATACGAGAATCCGTACTGTACTGC